AAGAAGAGGTCCAAAGGGGTAGGGAAGGTGGAAGGGGAAGGGGAAAGAAGGAAAAGGAAAAATTATGAGAAAAGAAAAAAAAAGGAAACAAAATCTATGTAAATAGGGAAGGGTGGAGGGGGTGACGGGCGCACAGGTAATGGGGAAAAAATAAGAACCAAGATACATCATGTACAGGTACAAGCACTCAATGAGAAATGTAAACATATTGTATACCTAAAATGTACCAGTGAAAGAATTTAAGGGGAAAAAAAAGATGCTTATCAGTAAAAACTTGGTTTGTGAGCATAATTAGTTCTGGAAACATGCTTGTAATCCAAAGCACTTGTGTATCAAAGGGAATCTCCCCATAAGAAATAACGGAGACTCAGGTGATTCGTTCCAAACCCCAGAATATTCATATAAAAATGATTACATTACTGTAATATACAAAATAATAAAGAAAATACAAAATATAAAGAAAAATTAACCTGCACTTACCTTTGAAAACCTTCATGGGTGGTGTGAGGGAGATGAGAGGGGAGTGTTACTGAACAGGATGACTTTAACTGTCACTGACGGAATCACTTCTGTCATCTGGCTTAGTAGAATCTTTTTCTATTAACAAGGAATTTATCCAGTGATACTTACTTTTGCCTCATTTTGAGGATTTTGCAGAAATGTGACAACGTATTGTTGTTAAACAGATTCATGGCTCCCATTGCTACAGCCTTATTTGGGGCTGCTTTTCTACAGAATGTTGTACCTTTTCCCACATTTTACATATCTCTCTAATCTCATTTGAAGTGAAGGATTCCTCCACCTTTTTCTTTACTGTTTTGCAGATGAGATCTCTTCCATAACCTCTTGCTGTTGAGAGGATCACCCACAATCCTGTGGGGAGGACCCATTGGCTCAGTTGTGACCATGTGACATTTGTTGTCAACATACTACTTGTCTTGCAAGACATCATTAATTTATCAAGTTAAAATTTATTAGAAATGTTTTTTTTTTCCATAAAAGGATTTTTTTTTATTCAAGTAACTGCAAATAGGAAACAAGAGGGGGAGCCCCAGGCTGGGACGAATAATGGCCACCCTCCCCAACGGAACAGGGGGAGCTGGTGGCCCCTACACCCTTCCATGGTCGACGTGGGCCCCTCCTCACTCTGCTGCAGCATCCTAGGGGCAGGGCCCCACCTTCCCTGGGACTGGGGTACTCCACACCCAGCCTGGGCGCCCCAGCTCGTCCCCGGGTCTTAGGGAGGAAACAGGGCAGAAAGGGCAGTATTAGAAATGTTTGATTGTCTTGTGGAACACTAACACGACAAGTTACAATTCGAAGTTTTACTGTATTTTAAAAACACATTTATGGACAAGTCACATATTAAATCATAAACATTAAATTTCTAAGCTTCAATAATGTTTTTCTTCCTGGTATTTCTCCTACTTTCCTTAGTTAGCTCCTTCAAATCTGTGCTCATACCTTGCTTCCTCCAGGAAGTTTCCCTCGAACTCAAGTCTGATCAAGACCACATCTCCTCTGTCCCAGACTACTCCTTGAGCACCTCTGTTGTGAAATTCTATACCCTCTGACATCTTAGTGATGACTTACTTGTTGGAACCACTAGACTTTGAGTTTCTTAAGCACAAAAACTATGTTTCTGGAATATTTTTGGGTACTAATAAAAACAAAACCAACAACAATAAACTATCTGGCTTAAACAATTAGAAGTTTCTTATCTCTAACACCAGAAGCCTGGAGGTCAGCATTTCCAGGAGTGATTCAGTGACGGGTACTTGGCTGCCATCGCTTCCTATCTCCTGTCCTTCTGTCACCCTGCCATGTAGGCTGAAGCAATGGTGGGGATTGGAAATATCCCCCAGTTATTTCCGGTTTTGACCTGAGAGCACAGATTTTGGCAGGTATCTGTGGATTCATTGAATAGCAATTCATTTATGATCATTTTTCCAGGAGAAATTGGCTTTATTTTTTTTGAAACTAGCAGTTCAGAATTAGATGTGTACATGTGTTTGAAAGGATTCCCAGCTCCAGCCTGGAAAAATATTTGTCCACTTCCTGCAGTTCCCAGAAGCAGTGTGGTCCTGGAGGAATTGTGGGGTGGTGGGATGGCTGGGGGTCTAGGGGTTGCAACCTCATTCACTAGCCTCAGCTGTTGGAAATAGCTGAGGCCGGAAATGAGGCCTGGAGTAGTTTCACATCCTTAACCTGGGGCCTTGTGGAGAGGCTTGCCCCTATTTAATTTACTCTATTTTAGTCACAATGCAGATGTGCTTAATTATCTAGTTAATTGCTTAGCTCACTTATTAAAAGCACATAATTAGGGAGGGGGGAGTGGGAGGAGTGCCCGGTGTAGGCAGGTAAACTGACTGTGAAATAAATGCAAGGGTGGAGAGTGGCAGAGGAGCAGATCTGTGACCTTGACTTAGAGCAGCCCAAGGCTCTTCTCATAGTTTATGTGGGTGCTGAGGAATCATCAAGAAAAGGCTAAATTTTGTCCATTCTTCCTATTTCAGAAAGCAGATGTGGTACATGAAAAATAACTTGCAGCACTACGTGAATATGATCACAAACAGATTTTAAACATAAGAATATTTAATTTAAATACTGGCAGGGCCAGACATGGTAGTACTTGCTGGTAAGGCCAGCATTCTGAGAGGCTGAGGCAGGAAGATCCCATGTTCAAGCCCAGTCTGGGCAATTTAGTGACATAGACCCCTTCTCAAGGTAAAACATAAAATTTGGGGATGTAGCTCAATGCAACGGCCTGGGTTCAGTCCCCACTGCCATATATAAATATAAATGTATATATATATTTATGAATATCTCTGGTGACAGGACCATAGGTGCTTTTTTTTTTTTGGTACCGGGGATCGAACTTAGGGCCTTGCGCTTTCGAGGCAGGTGTCGGCACCACTGAGCTAAATCCCTGGCCTCCATAGGTGCTTTTTTAAAGGTAATTGTATGTTTGATAAATTTGCTAACAGCATCATAACTTTTCCTTTAAACACAACACACTTTCACTTTCAAAATGCTTGTTCAATTCTGTCCAGTCTTCTGATGGTCATTTTTTCAGATGTTGCTTTTGTCTTTGTTAAAACTGATCCAATAATCCTTTTTCTAATGCATGTAGCAATAAAAGTCCTACTTGTCCTGTGTCGCAATTTCCTTGGGGTTGTGGGCATTAACTGTGAGACTCTGGAGTGGCTCTGTCGCTCCGTCTCCCAGAGAGATTTTGCTGTGATCTCCCTGGGCCTCCAGTGCTTCATTCAGCTGTTAAGTTTTTGGCTTTGGCGGAGTGTTGTGGTTGCAGATTTTAGAGGACGATCTCCCTACTTGGAGGGCTAAGGCAGATGAGTCTTTTTGTCCTTGTTCCTTGTTGGGAGACATGTTTTTCCTGCCTGTCCTTTGTCAGGCTCCTTCCAAGGTCTTAGCTTGTCAATTCTGAATTGTGAATGTGTTCATTCTAACTCCTCCCTTGCCTGGGTGCTGGGTTGCCTAACGCTGCCACCAAGAGTAGCAGCCACCAGGACAGAAGGGACAGCAGCCCGCTGCTGGATCTCCCCAGTGGAGCGCGCTTCCTTTCCAGAGCTTGGCGGTACATGTAAGAGCAGCTCTCAGCCTTGGCTGCCCGCTGGAGGCACCTAGGCAGCCAACTTCTACATCTGTAGAAGTTCGCACACCCAGGCTGCACCCGTGCCGGCCCATCATATCAGGGGAGCAGCATGCAGCAGGATGCAGTTACCGCTGCCAGGTGGTTCCATTATGGAGCTAGGATGGGAACCACTGACTGACAGTGATGCTCTATTTTACCCGATGATTTGTGTATGTGTTGTATTTCTTTTTTTCTAGAGGGAGTGTTTTTAACTTACCTTGTCAGCAGCAGTGAAAATAAGAGCCCATCATGTTGCAATTAGAAAAACATGCTCTTAAAATTAAACAGGAAGGTGGCCAGCCTTTATTCCATCCTTACTGTGTGCTAGGTAGGCCCTGTGCCTAGGCATTTCACATAGGTTTGTTCCACCCCTGTGTGCTAAGCCCTATGCGTAGGCATTTTACATATATCATATCATTTGATGGTTCCTAAGAACCATCCTCCAAGGTAGATGGCAGTTTGTCTTTGCAGATATGAAAACTAGCTTGGTGAATAACAAGTTCTAGGTCACACAGCTCACAGATGGCAGAATCAGGCCCAAGAGACACCCAGGCCCTGTCCTTTCACTTTTTGCTGAGGTGTATATAAAATAGGGGCTTTTAAATTTTCCATACAAATAGAATAGGTTCTGGGTATCTGTTACTTTTATATATTGAGAATACTCTATGTCTCATAATGTCAGGATTGCTGTGTACATTTTGTCTTCTCAGAGGACAAACTGATTTTGACTAGTAGATTATTATTTTTGAAGAAATTTAATTTAAGTTCATTAAATAAACTCGGAGTAAATAATATGTTTAACTCTGGCCTGTATCTTATTAAAAAAATACATTTACTTGTCTCTCTTCCACTCCTTAATCTGCACAAAGGGTTGTGGGTGTGTGTGTGTGTATGTATGTATTGAGGAAGAAGCCCAAGGACCGGGAGAGGAGAGACAAGCTGGAGGTTGAAGACCCCAGGCCATTCCCAGTGCATGGAGTGACTTGGGGGAGAGGTAGGGAGCTGGGACTTGGAGCCATGTGGTCACGCTGCCGCCTCGGGAACCCCATGCAGGGTGGATTGGCTTTTACTACGGGTACCTCTGAACCCCCACCTGCGCCTACCCCCCAGGGGCTGAGCAGGGTGTTCCTACTTCTTCCTTCTCATCCTGGCTTCCCTCTGGCCCGGCTCTGTGGGGTGAATGATGTTGGGACTGGTTTGAGGCTTTTATCTTTGCTGAGAGCTTTGAGGAATCCATCTCTGTTAGAATCTCTGAGTTAAGCTTTTCTGAAGTGTAGGAATGTCATTTCATTTCAACTTAAGTGGAAAGCAAACTGCCTTTAAGTCTCATCTTTGTCATTGACAGCTCTCCAACTGGGTCTTCTGTCTGTGTGTCACCACCTCAGAAAACAGGCAAGATGGCTGCAAACAAGAGCAAGGGCCAGAGCAGCTTGGCCCTGCACAAAGTGATCATGGTTGGCAGTGGAGGGGTCGGCAAGTCGGCCCTGACACTTCAGTTCATGTATGATGAGGTAAGATGCGCCTGTGAAGACCGCCTGCATGACTCTGTCTGCTGTCCATGTCCCTTCTCCAGCCTCGCTTCGGCACTGTCCTGGATTGCATGGGGTGCATGATCAAGGTCGTGTGAAGGTGGGTTTAGAGTAGCTTGCTGAGACTTCTCACCACAGAAGCTCCGGGTTGCTGATCTTAGGTGGTGACTTCAGCTGTGGCAGGGATATGAGGAGTCTTTGCTCATGTGGTTTTCACTGTTGTTCTGTGAGGGAGGGGAGAAAGGCCTTTGTACAGGTGCCATAGTTTTAATCTTGCTGTGCCCCAAAACCTCATGTATTGGAGGCTTGCTTCTCACCCCCAGATACTACAAGAGGTGGTGGGGCCCAGGGGAAGGAAGTTAGGCCCTTGGGTACATGCTGGGGGGATATTGGGACCCTGTCCCCTTCTGTTTCTCTCTTACATCTTGGTCTCCATGAAGTGAGCAGCTTCTTGCCCCATGTGCTCCTGCTGTGATTGCTGCCTTGCTACAGGCCTAGAAGCAACAGGGCCTTCTGTCTGTAGACTGAAATCTCAGAAACTGTGACCCAAAACAAACCTTTTCATAAGTTATATGTTTTTGTCATAAAAAGTAAACAACAGGTATTTCTAAAGAACATGTCAGATAGTTTTGTGACTGGTCAGTTTGGGCAGAGAAAAAAAGGGGAACTGAGTTGTTACAAGAGCCTAGTCGTTCCCCAAGTGTTGGATATCTAAGTTGCCTGATTCTCCCATTCATAGGGCAAAGCTTGCCCCATCCTTGCCCCAAATTCACATCACTTACTTAACGTGGTTGATGAGACTGGTGTTGAGCCCATTGTGACAACACAGCCTTGATTCCTGTAGCAGCCAGAGGCCCTGCTGGACAGCCACTTGCAGGACTCTGAAGCAGAGGGAGTGCTGAGAGTCTGTACCTCAGGGGCTTCTCCTGGGCATGACATCCACATGGACCCGTGCTTTGTAAAATTTGCCAGAGAGATACCAGAACCACAGTTGGCAAAGGTCACTCTCTCTCTCTATTAGACTTTCCTCTGTCCCACTTCCTCTTATGTTGAGTGCTGTTGGAGAGGCCATGGGAATTTTTGGCATTTGAGGAAAGTTGAATTAGGGTTAGGATTAGTTGGGGAAGAGTGGTGATATATATATCCTCTTTAGAGGCTGTCTTTGTTTTCTGTTACTATAACAGAATAACTAAGAGTGGGAAATTTATAAAGAAAAGAGGTTTATTTTGGCACATGGTTCTGGAAGTACAAAAATGTGGTCCTGGCCTCTGCTTGGCTTCTGTTGGGGCCCATGTGGTGCTCCATGCATAATAGAAAGAGGAAGGTCAAAGAGGGACGGGACAAGGGACCAGAGGGTTTATAGCAGCCTACTCTTGTGATAACTCACCTACTCTCCCAGGAAGTACTTTCATCCCTACATGAGAATGCATTCTTCTTAGTCTTCATTGTTTCGTAAGGTTCAACCACTTCTCATCACCACAGTTAGCAGCCCAGCATGAGTTTTGGTGGGGACAACCTACACTGTCACCATAGCAGAGCTGTGGCAGTTGAGAAAGGATTCCTGTAGTGTAGGTGATTGAGAGGCCTCAAGATGTCAAATCCAAGAGCAAGTTTGGATACAGAGTCCAAATCTCTTTTGACACTGGGATCTGTTCTGCTCAGCACAACTGCTGACAGCACAGGTGACTGGGAGTCTGGATGCTTTGTGTTTTGTGTGCATCTACATATGTGTGCAGATGGCAAGAGGGGAGGGGAAGGGTGCAGAAGTGTCGAGAGTTTTTCTCTCTTTCTAGCTTCTTCACAGAGAAGGGAAAGCTCTGTTTGACCTTAGACTGTTTTTCTTGTGGGTGAACGTATTTGAGGATCAGAAAGCATCAGTTACTGCAGAAATGGTAAAATAAAATCAGGACAAGGAAAAAATAGAAATGAAGTGATGTGTGTGGGGGGGAATCTTTAATTGATTTCCTAAAACAGTGCTGTTTGGTAGAACCTTCTGCAATGATGAAAATGTTCTTATACTGCTTAATCCATGTGGCTGCCATGCACTTGAGATGCAGCCGGTGGCTACCAAATTGGAAAAGATAGTTCCAAGATCATAATTTTGGAGCTTGAGAAGATCCTAGCAATGATTTCCAAACCTAGCTTATCATAGGATCTCCCAGGAGACCTTTTAAAAAAATCCCTTCTAGGGCCGGGAATTTAGCTCAGTGGCGCCGTGCCTGCCTTGCAAGCACAAGGTCCTGAGTTCAATCCCCAGTACTGAAAAAAAAATCCCTTCTGAATAACTTTTTTGGAGCTGAGAACTGGGGCTCCCTTTTTACAGAGCTCTCCCTGTGGTTCTGAAGTGTGGCTGGGTGCTGCAACTCCTTCCTGAGCAATCTAGTATAGCCAGATTTTACAGAAAAGGAAACTGAGTTCATACTGAGGATATCAGCTGATTAAATCTCACGGACCATTCAGACTCTTTGTTCCTCACCCAGGGCTTTACTCTTAGGTTAAAGTTCATTTAGCTTGTATGATAGAATTTTCATAGAGATTAAATTATGGAAGGAGCCACTGTCTTTATTCCTGAAATCTTTATTCATTTCTAAATTTTGACTGACAATAATTAGGAGGAGCTGCTACTGTGGGGGCAACCAGAGATTTTTAACCCTATCTTTGGAGTAGGTTCCTTGAAGATGTGTTCATCATCTTTCTAAAACTATAACAACTTCCTGAGATAATAATTTATAAAGAGAAAAAGGTTTATTTTGGCTTATGGTTTTGGAAGTTTCAGTCTGTGGTCAGTTGGCTATGGCTCTTTGGGGCCTCTGTTGAGGCAGTACCATCAGGGTGAGAGCGTGTGGCAGAGCAGAACTGCTCACATCATGGCTGGGACACAAAAGAGAGAAAAGGTGAGTCACCCTGCCCTTCGGGAGCACACTGCCAGCAACCTGGAGTACCCCCTCTGGGTCCCACCTCCAAAGGTGTCACCCTTCCCAGAAGCTCCACCAAGTAGAGACCTCGTCTTCAACACCAGGGCCTCTGGGCACATTCCGGATCCAAACTCTAGCAAGAACTTTCACCTTCTTACTGGTTCTGGGAAAAGTGAGGATGGGGATGAGGAGGCTTCAGACTTGGCCTCCTGCAAGGTCGTCTTTGATATGGCTCGGGAAGGGGTATGTGAAGTGTGTCCTGCACTTGTGCATCTGAAAGGGAATTGCATGTATCTCTGCAAGGCCCATGGAAGACGAGTGTAATTCATGTTAACAGAAACAAAGATGGGTGATTTCCTGTTTCTGCCCTCTAAAATCAGGGTTTGCAGTGGAAGGTTCTAATAATATGCTTGGTTTTCACTTAGTGCAGAGGTAACTAGGCATCTCAGGCATTCTGACTCCTGTATTACAGGGATCAGGGACCTGTGGCTGGGCTCCCCCTCTGGAGCTCAGAAGTACACAGCTGAGCAGTTCTGTGGTGTGCAGAGATTTTAAGTGAGGGATGGTGTTTTTTAATTTTTTTAATTTTTTGGTACCGGGGATCAAACTCGGGACCTTGTGCTTGCGAGGCAGGTGGCAGAACCACTGAGCTAAGTCCCCGGCCCCCTCCCTAGGTCTTTTATTTTTATTTTTTATTTTTGGTACCGGGGATCAAATGCTTGCATGGCAGGTGCAGCGCCACTGAGCTAAATCCCTGGCCCTCCTTTGCTTTTATTTTTGTCCTGGGAATTGAACCCAGGCCCTCATACATGCTAAGCCTGTGCTCTACCACTGGGCACACCCAGGCTTTCTGGATATTTTTAAATGGGCTATTTCTCTTTTTATTGTTGAGTTTTGAGAATTCTTTGTAGATTCTGGAAATGTCTCTTATTAGACATGATTTACAAATATCCCGTGCTCTGGGTTGTCTCTTCACATTCTTGATAGTATCCTTTGAAGCAGGAGCACTTTTAATTTCTGTAAAGCTGATCTGTCTGTTCATTCGTGCTTTTGGTATCATATCTAAGAATCCAAACCCAAGGCCATGAAGATTTGTGCCTATGTTTTCTTCTACAAGTTTGTAGTTTTAGTTCTTGTATTTAGATCCTTGATCTGTGTAGTTAATTTTTGTATGTGGTAGGAAGTAGGAGGTCCAGTTGTACCAGCACTATTTCATTTTTAAAAGTACATTGTTGTCATTAACTTAGTTTTTTTTCTGAATTTCTTGATGTTTAGCGTCACTAAGATTACTGATATTGATACATAATACAGTATAAGGAAAATAGCTTTGAAATGATATCATTATAACTAAATAATGTACCCTTTGAAGGGAAGTTAAATATTTCCTTGACTTTTTTGCCTTTAGTTTTTCTGGATGCATTTTATCAAAATATTGTTCTAAAATTTCATGAATTAAATTCTTTTTCTGTGTGTCATTACCAGTGAGTATTCTGGTAGGCTTATTTGCTTCAGTTTGTTTGTTTAACTTCTTTTAAGTTTGTTTTTGTCCTTTCAAAGTACCTTTTTGGCAAATGGATGCACATATACAAAACTTACTTTTTATCTCCATACTTTCCTTATGCAAATAGAGTAAACTACTATATTTTTAAGCTCTCTATATATTTGTACATAGTTATCTTCCTCATTTATTATAGGTGCATAAAATTCCATTGTGGGGTCCCTGTTGCTGGGTGTTCAGAAGGTTTTTAATCTTTTGTGATTATACTCGGTGCTGTGGTGAATTACTTTGCATGTTCCTGTACCTGAGTTTCTGGAGATTAGATTCCTAGCAGCAGGGACAGAGGATAAGGTGCTTCTTTCATTTTATCAGATGTTGACCAGGTCCTCTCCTTGGGGACTGTCCTCTTCTCTACTCACTGGCAGTACATGAGAATGTCTACCCCCAGAATATGGAGTCAGACTTTAAGGGTTTTTCCAGCTGGCAGGTGAAAAATGGTATCTTAATGTGGTTTTGTAATTGGTGAGGACAAACATCCTTGCATGTGTTTAGCATCATGTGTATTTTTATGTGAATTGCTTATGTCCATTGCACATTTTCCCTATTTGATTGTTGATACTCCCCACCCCATTTCTAGGAACTCTATTATTTTAAAGAGCTCAGCCTTTTGTAATATGGGTTCAAATATTTTTCTGTTTGTTATTTGCCTTTGTTTACAGTGTGTTGTGCCATGCCAATGTTTGAGCAATTTTTTCTTTTTTTTAATGTAGTCTAATTTATCAATTTTTTCTTACATGGCTTCTGGATTTTGAGTCATAGTTAAAAAGGCCTTCTCTACTTCAAGGTAATAAAAGGATTTCACACATGTTTTCTTCTAGTACTTGATTGGTTTTATTTTCAATGTTTAATCTTTGAGCCGTTTGGATTTTTTCATATAAAATATTAGTACGTACTAATTTTATAAAACATTAGGTTTCACTATGGTATTTTCATACATATATATAACATGCTTTGGGCACATCCATTCCATTTGGAGTTTTATCATATTGTAGTTATTTAAGTACCATGTGCCAAATTACTGCTCAGATGATTTTTTATGTTTCTGTTATGAATAAGAGCTCCTGTTTCTCACCTTTTTTCAGTGTCATATTATCATTTTATACTGCACTGACAACAATATTGCCAAGCATTTTGCTCTGTGCTTGTTTTTCTCATCTATAAAATGAGGATGTCTGTTCCTGTTGTTTAAAGGCAAAATAAAAAAGAGTAGAACAAAGAGCTAGAAAGAACTGGAGTGTTATATAAATTGCTATTTTTTTCTTTTATGAAAAATAAAACAAAATTTCATAACAATAATAAGAGAATAACAGTTAATACACTATGCATCATTATCTTCAAAGTAATTACTCATGTTGTTTTTATTTTATAGTGACTTTTACTTAGTGTGGTAGTCATCAGCACTCAGTGAAAACTTTGTTGATTATATGCAAAGTACCTATATATCTATCAAGTTGTATTTTTTGGACAGATTTTTTCCCTTTAAAATTTTGGTAGTTACAGATGATTTGTTTCCCCAGTTTGTAGAAGACTATGAACCTACCAAAGCTGACAGTTACAGAAAGAAAGTGGTTCTTGATGGTGAAGAAGTCCAGATCGATATTCTGGACACAGCTGGACAAGAAGACTATGCTGCCATTCGAGACAACTACTTCCGGAGTGGGGAAGGATTTCTGCTTGTGTTTTCAATCACGGAACACGAATCCTTCACAGCAACTGCTGAGTTCAGGTGTGTTGACCTGAAATATGCAAGGCCCTTTCTCCTTCCCACCACATACCAGGAATCCGGTGCTGAGCAGAGGGGTAGAAGGTCAAGCTTGTTATTAGGAAGAATTCTGTTGACAGAGTTTCTGGGACTTTCCGCATCTTGGCACATTATAGTGCCTCATTATAATCTTTTTGGACTTCTCTGTTTGAGGATTTGGGGATGTAAATTATCTTAAAAATCTTATCTCTAAAAGAGGGCACAGCTGTTCCTTACACCCAAGAGCCTGTAATTCTCTTCAAGTAAATTCGAGACAGTGACTGACAGGACTTAACCATCTTTAATTTTTTTCTTTAAATTTTACCAAAAAACAATTTTGATCTACTTTGTTGATGAGACATTGGCAGAGAATGAGCAGTGTAAGTCAGAAGGACCGCTTGCTGCTGCTGGGAGGACTCTGAGCACAGTGGAAGTGAAAGAACTGGCTTGAGAGTCTGACAGACCTGATTCAAATCCCCCAGCCACTCACCAGCTTTGTAACCATGGACAAGTCTACTCAGCATGGAGATTCTGTTTCTTTCTCTGAAAATGCACTTGTTAGTTGATAAATGAGATACAATGATGCATTTGCTTATGAATTGCGTTGGGGCAGGAACCAGGAAACCTTTCATTGTGTCTCCCTGTTCCCAGCCCTCCTCTGTACCGTGTGGCACCTGATGCCTACATAGTGGGTGGGCTCTTCACTGCACATTTTAAAATGTGGCATTTAAAGATGCTTTAAATTTCTTTTTTATTTTTTAAATAAAGAAATAGCCTTTGGGCATAATTTCTATCTTCTATAATTTTTTTAACTACATACCCTTTCCATTTTTATTATACAATTGTATTTTTTCTTGTACCTTCCTTATAAACATATCTATGTAGGTCAACTTTCTGTTGCTGTGATAACATTTCTGGGATAAAGAAAAGGAAGAGAGTGTATTTTGGCTCACAGTTTTGGAGGTTTTGGCCCAGTTGCTTTTGGGCCCATGCTGAGGCAATACATCATGGTGTGAGTGCATGGAAGAGGAAACCTTTTCACCTCCTTGCATCCAGGAAGCAGAGAGAGGGAGGGAGGGAAAGTTAGAGACAGAGAGATAGAGGGAGGGAGGGAAAGAGAGAGAGAGGGGTAGAACCTCCACTGTCCCCTTTAAGGCCACGCCCCCAGTGACCTCACTTCCTCCTACTGAGTCCCATCTCCTAAAAGTTCCACTACCTCCAGTAGTGCCAGAGGCTGGGGACCAAGCTTTGAATACAAGGCCTTTGGGAGACATTTAAGATACAAACTATAACTAACCACATCTACCCAGTTGACATTTTAAGAACCAGAACTAGAGTCTGACAGGGCACTATTGAGGAAAAGAACTAAACAAAAAAGTCATTTTTTTCATTCTTTAGCAAATTTTGTGAGCAAGTAAGGTGATCAACCAAAGGTGAAATGAGGAGGCTGAATATCCTCCCACAATTTGGAAGGAGGCATCCATGAGCAAGGGAGGCCTGCAGGAGTGAATTCAGATAACCCAGAAGAGCGAGTACAAGGTGATAAGGCATAACCTTTGTTGTTTTGCTTCAAAGAGTTGAATATTCAGTGGGGATGTTTCTACTTCTGCATTCCAAAAAGGTGGTCCTTGCATTTTGTGAAGATCTGCATTGATACTTATGATATAGGATAACATTTCACAATAATAAAAATACTCAAGTGTTTCCATATAGTTAAGTACAGATATAAAATATTTTAAGATAAATGGAAGAAGCAAGTAGATACTTGAAGATAACCTACAAGTAGCTTTGTTATACTTTACATTTGAATAGGGGTCATAGAGAACTATAATGTGTGTTAGAATGGTTAGAATAGTAGAACTCATGAGAATTCTTATTAACTTTTAGACTTTTCAGATACACCTAGAGGTTTCAATATATGAATATAGCCCACATTTAATTGTTTGTGTCCACATGACCCTGTTTCGATACCATCTTGAGGATAAAACAGCACAGAGGCCCATGCACTACCCTCATTTTCTTCCCTCCTGAGCCTTTTGATTTTCTACTTCTCCAAGACTCAGCAAAAAGGGAAGTGTTGGTCAGTGGCAGGGTCCTCTCCAGAGGAGGGACAATGCCCTGGTCCTGTCCTCTCCTTCACCACGTGCTTGCAGGGAACATGCATGGGTTCTCAGAGTTAGTAAGTGTCACCTCATCTTGGAAAAGGGGATTATATGGGAAGAAAGGTCCTTAGATGAAAAAGGACTGATGAATCCCTAAAACAAAAAGAAAGAGAAGTTAGTACTTTTGGCTTGAACTCTGGGCATTAAGGTACAAGCCCCAGGACTGGCCATGTTTCTCTTGTCTTCAGAAACAGAAGAATGGAGGTGGATTTTCTGAACCCTGCTGGCCAAACCTAGTCTTTTCATTTTATACCTGTTAGTGGTTTAAGACTTCGCTTTTGTGTTTACTTCGGTTGGAAAGGCCTCCATATAAAATGAGACACTAATACACACTATCACCCTTGAATCTTTTCCTGGATAATATTCCATGAGCTGAGAGAAATAAGCTGTCACAAGGTACCAGCACTTGGTACTCTCATTTTTGAAGCAGTATATTTATTAATGGGATATTTACATACTCCTGCCAGACTAATGGGCCAGAAAGCTATCACTTTTTACTGTTCACATTTGATATTGATCTTAAGTGATCATATAACTTAAATGTGTCATGCTTGCTGACTTGTTCAAATGTGTAGGGTATACCAAAGCTACTTAGAATGAATTTTCAAGCATATATTCTTCCTTTTCATTTATCTGAAAATATTTGATATTCGGTAGTTAAATTGACTATATGGAAGCTTTTAGAAATGTCTTTATTATTATAAAATGCTACCTTGTGTGCTATGAATAGCTATACAGATTTCCACAGAATCCAGTTTCTAGTGGAACTCTATCTGGAATGTAGAAGTAGGAATGTCCCCACTGCCCAGCTGGTGGTGCATACCTGTAATCCCAGCACTTAGGAGGCTGAGGCAGGAGGATCAGCTCTTTTTGAGGCCAGCCTGGGTTACATAGTGAGCTCAGGGCCAGTCTGAATTGCGTAATGAGACCCTGTCTCAAAAAAAGAAAACAAAGGAATGTCCCCACTGGATCAGAATAATGTAAGTGGAATATTTTAATTTCTTTATTACTTGGTTTTGATTAACACTTTAGGTAGCTGATTATTTTTATTAGAGATAAAATTTAGTATGCCAGAGATAGTTTTTTTTTAAGAGAAGACATTTTTGAAATTCTTTTCCATCGGCCTCAGAGTATTTCTTTCACATTTTTTTCTTTAAAGTAAAAAGATAATGTGCATTGGAGTATGAGTTCTGCCTGACATTCTGTCCACATCCTGTTGGCTGGAACATTTACTGCATCTGACTGTGATCTAAATGCTCACTGTTGTGTCTTATTATGTGTGGTGGATACAGCCAGCCCACTGGGTCTGCGGGTTCCACATCCTTGGATCAAAACTGTAGTCAGGCCTTTGATGGTTGTATTTGTACGAACATGTATAGACTTCTTTTTGTTTCAGTTATTCCTTAAACAGTATAGTGTGATGACTGTTGCGAGGTGTTCCCCTAGATGAGGTTTTGTAAGTACTCTAGAGATGACTTCAAGTACACAGGAGAATACGTGTCAGTCATGTGCAAACCCCACACTGCTTGATGTAAGACACTTGGACACCTGTGTGTTTTGGTATTCTCAGGGGTCCTAAAACCAGTGGCCCTTAGAGCCTGAGGGACAACTACACTTACAGATCTAATCAAGACAGAGACCTTTCACAAACCAGTACTTACTGCTTGAGATTTCTTTGAATGTTCCTGTTTTACTTCACTTTATAATTATTTCATGGAATAAAAAATAAATAAAAGAGCAAAAAAAGCCCTGCTGTTTATGACCACCTAAACTGATTTCAAGATCCACTATCAGGCTACTACCTTCCATATAGAAAACACTAGATTATGTAGCTTTTATAGTCACAGACGTTTTTTTCTTCAGGGGAGTTTTTAAGCATTTGTGAGGTACTTACAGCTTGTTTTTTTTTTCTTCTTTCAATCCCAGAAACTCACAGGTTTTCCTCCCTTTTTCTTTCTTTTAAGTGTGTTACCATAAATTGGGGACCCTGTTGGCATGCAGACTCCTGAATTCCTGTCCTAGGACTCTGGCCCCAGAATCTGCACCTATGGAGTGTGCCCAGATGACTGAGCACCAAACTTGGGCACCACTTGCCAAGCTTCTGGCTGTGCTGTTGAGTGCTCCCTAGGAGCATGCTGTGAAGGGGCAGTCCCTTCTCTGCCTTAGGAAATTTATTTGAGATGGGTTAATGAGACCGAATTCTTACTCTGTCATTCTTTGTGGCTATATTTTTGATGTAACACCTGCAGGGAACAGATCCTCCGAGTGAAGGCTGAAGAGGATAAAATTCCATTGCTGGTCGTGGGAAACAAGTCTGACTTGGAGGAGCGGAGGCAGGTACCCGTCGAGGAGGCCAGGAGCAAAGCAGAAGAGTGGGGCGTGCAGTACGTGGAGACATCAGCCAAGACGAGGGCCAATGTGGACAAGGTAGCTGCACTCTCTGGGTGTGTCTTTGGGTGGAGCAGAGCAGAGCCATTTCACTAGTGTGGGATGTAGGCAAGGACTCGGTTTCTGCAGATATCTCAGCCATTACAGTGAAAAGCATCGAATGGGTGGGTCTGATGCTGTGTTCAAAGCAACCCCATGGGGTCCCTTCCCTTTGCCACTAGGCGTGGTTGATGGATGCCCATTTTTGGCCTAGTGCTTGGGAAGTGTGGCAGGAGGAGCCCATTGGTTTGTGAAGCCAGCTAGAAGGGGACTGACCGTGCCCGTGAGCTCTTCTCCACACCTTGCCACTGGTCAGTTGGGGCAGGGCTGGCTGTGTCAGACTGCTGCTTATGTGGCCTTGAAAGGAACAGGCCATTTTTTTCCCCTTTGCCCCTTTTCTTCCCATTTCACAAGGGGAAGGGCAAATGGGAGGGGTAGGGGAAAGGAAAGAAGGGAATGGAATTAATATGAGAAAGTGAAAAAATGGAAACAAAGTCTTTGTAAATAGGCAGGGATGGAGGGGTTGAAGGGAGGGCAGGGGAAGGGGGAAAAAATAAGAACCAAGAGAGACTATGTAAAGGTGCAAATTTCCAATGACGACTGTCATTATATTGTATGCCTAAAATGTACCAATTAAAAAAAAAAAAGGAACAGGCCATTTCTTGATTTTGCTTCTGTTGAATTATCTAAAGCAAAAGGTGAAAGATGTATTCTTTTCACCTTACTGTCCATTGCCAGAGCCAGGCATTCTGTCTTTACCATTTAATCTCCAATTAGAATATGCTTTCAGGAACTGACTTTCTGGGATCTCTTCTCTCTCTTATCCCATCCTGAGACCACTTCTTGACATTGCTGAAGTTAACACAAGTGACCATGACCACAGTGAATGTTGACAACTTGAAAATCTACTTACCAGGGATGGCTATTGTTAGGCTTTTTTTCTCTTTCTTTTAAATTAAAGTTCAAGGTGGTTTCCACACAGCTAAAATAAGCAACTTAAAGGTGAGGCTTCCCCTTCTACCTTCACCTTGTGTATTGGTACTTACTCCGTGATCCACACTCCTGTACAGTTCAAGCATATAGCCTGTGGCAGCCAAGCAGGTCTGTGTGCTTTGTGTTCTATGGTGGTGGCAGATCCCTTTTTCTGTTTCTGTCTTGGGAAGAAATAATTCCCCTTTGTTTTTTACCTGATGGGGAGAAATTTTTAATCAGGCTTTCCTGTAGCCGGAAGTGATGCTAGAGAGACAGTGGGGTGGGGAGTTGGCCCGGAGTGCCTCACTTCAGAAGCTCGCAGCTGCGTCCACCATACACATCTGTTTTAGGTCGCAGGGTCAAGTGTGCTCCCTTGTCAGCTGCTTTTTTTCTGTGTAGTTGTCTCAACTCTTGTGTGAATCCTTGTGCTATTCAAAAATCTGTATCAAATTATGTCCTGTGGAAATACACAGGAAATCCAGATAAATAATTCATTTTTTACAAATCAGAGCAACTTTCTCAGCACAGGATTGCTGCCGTGTATTTTTGATGGCCAGGGTGGCAGGGGGAGGAGGCTGTCACAGTTGTCACCTCCTCCACTGGACCAGCTTGACCTGCTGAACAGGAACCAGCAGAAACTTATGACTAGCAGCATTGTATTCACTGGTAAATAGTTTACAAGAAGATGGTTGCTGATAAGGTCAGCTGATGAACAACCTTGTCATCATTTTGAGTAGGATGTACTCCATTCCTCTCCTCCTGCTTACATTTTTAGGATGGAAAGAAAAACTTACAGCATTTAGAGCTGCTCACTGATGCTCTCATGGCTTTGTTCTTTCCTGAGAGGTTGGCAGAAGGGGTGTTTAGGTCAGCCTGAGCCAGCTTGCGGGTCTTTTTTCTTTGCCTGGGGCTTGTTGTTAATGCACAGGGAGTCCCACACTCCAGACAAATGATCTTGCATTTCACCAAGAAGAAAATCTGAAAATAAAAGATAGGAGGTGGTAGTTTCGTGTGACTGTCCAGAGATAAAAGTATGTGCTCCCTGTCACACTTTCTGTCTCCCTGGTTCTCTGTGAGAAGTCTCAGCCGTCTTTCTGTAGGAGGCATATTTTGTCTGCTGGGCTATAATCAGGCCTCTGGCATGGTTGCTCATATTAGAGGGCAAAACCCAAACTATTGTGACAAATGATAATCTTTATTTAAATAACACTGACATTTAGAGGCCAGGTCTCATCAGTTCTTGATAAAGTTCCTGTCGACTAACATGGTGAGGACCTGAAAGCCAGGGTCTGGGTGTCTGTGGGGAGGTTACTGCAACAAGGCATCTTGCTTCTCCCCTGGTTCCGTAGAGCAGGAGCTGCCCACTGGCTCCTCTCACCATCATCGCCTTACCAGGTTTGCTGGTGCTGAGTCTTGCTGGGAAAGTGTCACTGCTGTTTCAGCCCATGCAGGGTCCCTCCCCACAAGGATTAAATGAGATGCAGTTATATAATTAAGCACCCAAGAATGGGTACTAGGATCATTCTTTTCCTTTTCTGGTGGTTGGAAATGCTAGAAAGTCTGATTCCCACTGCCACTCTTAGTACTTGTAAATTTCACAGTTTTAGATCTGTTCTTGGGGCCGGGGATTTAGTTCAGTGGTTCCACTGCCTGCCCTGCAAGCCCAAGGACCCGAATTCAATCCCTGGTACCAAAAAAAAAAAAAAAAAAGAAACTTCTTGTAGATCTGTTCTTGGCAAAAACATATTTTACTCTTTGTTATATTTAAAAGGTCTTATCATTTTAAGATTAGCTGTAGAATGGTAATAATAGTGTGATTCTGTTCTTAGCCTGACCATTTGTGTGGTGTGAGCAGAGATGTTTGCATTATAGAATTTTGTGCTAGGGATGCAGCTCAGGGGTAGAGCACTTGCCCAATGTGGGTGAGGCTCTGGGTTCTATCCCCAGTGCTACCTAAAAAATGCTTTTGAGATTATTCGTATTTGCTCTAGACCCTTTGTTTTTGACAGTGAATAGCTTATAAAAATAAGTTTGATGTTCTCTACTATAAAAATGCAACTACATACCTTGCTCAGTTTCACTAAATCACTAAGTGGCTTTTTCCTGTTCTAACTTTCCCTGCTCCCAGGTGTTCTTCGACCTAATGAGAGAAATCAGAGCAAAGAAGATGTCAGAAAACAAAGACAAGAATGGCAAGAAAAGCAGCAAGAATAAGAAAAGCTTTAAAGAAAGATGCTGCTTGCTGTGAAGATCAAGCTGGTGGTGGGGCCCATTGCTCTGAGGACATGGGGCTGGGCCAGGGAGCCGGGTCTGTGCTTGACCTCTAGTTGTACTTCCTGCTCTCCCCAACCTGTTCACCTGCACTTCTGTAAATGGGGAAAACACTTGTGAATCAGTGGCTGGCCGAAGAAATAAGCCCTTGTCCATGCAGTGGACTGGCTACTTTGCCAGGAGCGTCAGAGTTTCTGCTCTCCCTCCCTCTTTCCCTCCCTCCAGACAGTTTAGGTATATAGTGCTGTAGGTAGGAGACAGTCAAGTGTGGATTTTTAAAAAGTACTGTAATAATACCTTATTTTTCTCTAGTTTTATAACTTTACCATCTTTTGTTTTGAAATAAAATTGTCTTTTTAGTAGGTTTTAGAAGAGGACTCTCTATCGATTTCACAATAGTACTCAGAAAAATCCAGCAAATTCTAGTAAGACTTGACAAGTCCCAAAACTTTTTAGGTAAGTTTCTTGGCAGTTCCCTGAGAATCTGAAGTGTGGCTAGGAAAATGAACTTGAATTAGGCCAAATAGATCAACACCAGAATCTAGTTGTAAGTTGTTCTCTTCATATTTAGATATTGGCCAGTTACAGTCTGCATTGGCTCTTTTCCTCCTCAGTCTCCTGATGTTGTGTAGAAAATGATTTTGGGGTGGTGGACTAAGTGAAGAGGCGAGAGCAGTATACTTTATAGATGACACACTGTTGTAATCAGATCCTTGTCAAGCCCTTTGGTGAGGACTCGCCTACCTGCTGACCGCCTGGCGCGGCCCCTCTTCACCTATCCTTAGCCCTGCCCTGATCTATGGCATTGCTTCCAGAGGTCCAGTGAGCTGCCCCTTCTTTCGTTCAGTGTAAGATGAATCTTCTGAAAAATGTGATGACTTAAAATTGTATCCTAAAATCATGAAGCCAGAGCCTGTGGCCAACCTGCTACCTCTCATAGAATTGCTCAGTAATTCTAAATTTACAATTAGAAAAAGTGGGGAAAGATAAAACCATTGCCCCATTACCGCTAAGAATTGGCTGCTGTTTCTAATGTGATTCTTTTCTGAGATAGTTGTGTAGTTAGTCAGAAAAAGATTTGTATTGAGGAGAGACCATTCATTCTTCTTACTGTATCAGTATTCTAAACTCAGCAATCAGAAGTGTTCTCATCAGGAAAGGATTACTGTGCCCAGAGCCTGGTGGGCAGCACATTTCCCCCATTTTTCAGAAGTGAACATTACATGTTTAGGTGCCAAAAGTGAATTGGGGTGGGGAGAGTAGGAACCTGTAGAATTTATGGTTATTACAAAGACTGTGGAAATTATGGTGTGACTCCTGGAAACCAATCTTGCATCACCTCCCAAAGAATCATGGGCCTTTTTGAATAAAAAAAAGCAAACACACTTTTTCAGGATCTCAGCCTTTTCTTTTATCTCCTTGTCATACACATAAAATGTAAGCAATAAAAAATTGACAGTCATTCATTATTGTACTTATCAAATAGTCTACAAAATCAGACAAGCTTTATTTCAGTTAATCCTTTGAATTAGGAAATGAAGTTATAAATATAAGTTGGGTGTGGTGGTACACACCTTTAATCCTAGCTACTGGGGAGGCTGAGTGAGGTAGGAGGATTGCAAGTTCAAGACCAGCCTGGGCAACCTAGCCAGTTTCAAAACAAAAAATAAAAAGATGTGGGAATATAGCTCAGTGCTAGAGTACTTGCCTAATATGCATAAGGCTTTAGGCTCAACCTCCAATACCCCCCCCCACACACATACACACACTATAAATTGTAATTTTAATTTAGGAGAGATTATTATTCTTACTAAAATTTTAAAAGTTGAAGGTAATTGCACTTTTGAATTTCTGAGATGACCTTTTTGTGTTCATTCTGTTTTGCCACCCATTTGATGTCAGTTCTGGTCAGGAATTGGGTAGACTTAGAATATGGATAAATGAATTAAAGGTGGTATGAGTTAAAAAGAGATGGTATGGATTATTTCATGCTATAGAGATTATACTTGGTGTGTGTTAGCATTTTCCTAAAACTATATGTAACTGGATATTAGAGATGGGTCTTTGTAACCAAATTATTGTACATATGAGATTCTTTGCTATAGAAAAATAAAAATGCTGTTTATAAATTTGAAACAGACTTGGTAGGTGATTAGATATTATGTTTATAGTTTAGAATTATTTTTTTCAAGTCTCACTTTAGAAATGTGGGAGTGCCAGGTGCAGGCTCCAGCGTTGGTGCCAGGGATACGGTGTTAAGATGAGAAAGGCCTCTGTCCTGGAGCTTATGCTTCAGTGAGGAAAGAGAGAACCAAGTGAAAGGCTCAACTAAGGGCTTTGAAAGTGAGACTTGGTAATGTGAGGAACTGTTTTTAGGGGTAGAGCTGACAGACTGGATGATCAACAGGCTTTGCCAAGTGAGTGACCAAATGGCTGGAGGAGCCGGCATGTGAGGAACACGGAATGGTAGTTATCCCAAGGGCCCCGAAGTGCTCAGGAAACACCTAAGACCAGTATGTGGCTGGATTGTTAAGAGGGAGGAGCAGAGTATCAGAAAAAGGTAACTATGATTTCATAAAGTAGCATGGGGTAAAACACCCTATAGATAGAGTCTCCTACATAGGTCCTTCCTAGTTCATCAAATCTAAGGACACCACTGATTGTTAATATGTACCGCTACCACCCTGCCCATTATATGAATCCAGCCTGACTTCATGGACATAAAAATTGTGTGTGTGTGTAATGTATGGATTAAATTAGATGAATTATGGTATATAAATTTAAATGATGTGACAGTAATAGAATTCACCTCTGTTATTCTAGAAATGGCATTCTAGTAAAGCACCACAGGAGCTTAACAGTGTATGAATATTCAGTGGAAAGTACTAATATATTAGTAAACATGTTTTTATTTTTCAATGTAGTCAAAATTATAATTGCATGTCTTGGGCCGAGGATTTAGCTCAGCGGTTCTGGTGCCTGCCTCACAAGCACAGGGTCCCGAGTTCAATCCCCGGTACAAAAAAAAAAAAAAAATTCTGATGGTCTAGAAGTGCCTGTAATGGGAGGAGTTTAGTCTTGCTCCTCCCTTTTCCATCCCTGTTCTTCGAAGGTCACATTTAACCATTTCTACTCTAAGATCATTCTTGGGGTACTCTGCCTAATGTTCTTAGCCTGTTATTTTTTGCTTTGCATCTTCAGACGTTTTTCCAGTGGTAACATATTAAATGAGGATTTTGCTCCTTCGTTCCCTACACTTTCCATCTGTGTGGCCCACAGTAACATCACTGCTTTAACTCCTGTCATGGTGCTGCTACACCTTTTGAAACTATTTGAACTTCTGATTAACTCTCACAAGACATCTTGGTTCTCCACTCCTGACTGCAGTCCTCATCTTCTTTCAGCTCTCGACAGCTCTGTCTTTTCTGTTAACTTTAGCTTTCATGATACCAAAGGGGATTACATGTGTTTTCCATCCCGGGACAATTCAGAGCTTTGTGCTTTCTCTATAGGTTCATTCTAAAAGTTGAATCCCAGTCTACAATGATTTGATATTCTGAATATTGTAAATAGGATTCCTTGCTGAGCCAAACTCTGAATGGCAATTGAATTTCTTTCACTTGGCAGTTCCAGGGCCAGCACTGAAAGGATAGTGCTCCAAGTTTTCCTGTCACGTGGACTTTTCTATTAATTTCCAGAATCACCACATTTTGGGTTACTTCATCTGTGCACCTTGAGCTCCCCTGCCCCCATGTTGCCTGAAGTCTGACTGCTTTTTTCTTGTTGAGAAAATAAGTACTTTTTCCCCTGGTGCCAGTTTGTTTTGCTTTCTTTCCATTGCTTGGATTTTGCCTCCATTCTTCTGAAGATATTCTGCTTAGAGCTAATTGATTGCCTGATCTAATTTGGACTCATTGCTTTCCAGGTACTGAGATTTGCTTTCACTGGGCACATGGTAAATCCACACTTTCCTGGGCCACCCATCTTCCTTTGTTGGAGTTTACCCTCATTTTGCTAGGGTACATTTTCAAGAAGGGAAGAATGTCTGAGAGTGCCGTCACTTTTGGTCATTATTTGGTGGCTAGTTTGTCTTGAAATAAAATTCTGATTTCAAAATCACTTTCCCTCAAAAATTGGAAATCTCTGTTCTGGTGTCTGCAAGCAGCCATTGTCATAAATCAAACTGGCACCCAGTGGTCAGCCCTTTGTTAGGGGCTCTGCATTTCCCCTATGTATTAGACTTTCATTACTGACAAAATATTTCAGATAATTTAAAAGGAGGCAAGCTTCACTTTGGCTCACAGTTTTGGAGGTCTCAGTCTGTAGTAGGTTGACTCTAGACTTTTGGGCCTATGGTGAGGCAACACATCATGGCAGGAGCATGTGGCAGAAGAAGCTTCATCTCATGGCAGCTAAAGAGAAAAGGGAGGGGCTGGGGTACAGATAACCCCTTTGAGGGCACACAGTGATCTAACTTCTTCCCACCAGGCTCTACCTCCTACAGACCCCCCCCCCCCCCGCAGTTGGGCCACAGGCTGGGAACTAAGCCTTCAGCACAAGGAGGTCACTTGTCTGAACCCTCATCTGCAGTGTTGAAGAACACAGTGAGGGTCTTTGGTGGTCTGTCCTGCATCTTCCAGTGATGTCTGCTGTCTTTTCAGCTCTAGAAATGTTTTTGAAATTTGATAGTTCTTCTATATTCTGTTTTTTCTTTTCAGATTATTACCAGATTTTGGATCTCTTAGAGCCATATCTGCTTTATCCTTTCTTACATTTTCCATCTTTGTTTTCTCCCAAACTCCCCCCCCCCGCCCCCGTTATTGTTGTTGCTTGTGATTTGCCAAGCATTAGGGTAGCTTTCCAAATACACCCCTGGGAAAGCCCACAAAATTCTTTGTCTTCCTGGAGCTTACGCTAGTGGGATCAATTTCCTTTTCTAACTCATTACTCTGTGATGTGAACAAGGGCTTCATCTCTAATTGTTCTTTTTCCCATAGCATCTGTTCTTGTCATTATGTATTCAATATCTTGACTTTCTAAGGATGTTTAGAGCTTTTAAAAGTTGTATTCCAGAATTGCCTTTCTTTAATTTTGTTTTTCTCTTTATTTTTTAAGCTGCAAATTTTCCTCAAACATCTACTGATTCCTGGTTGTGCAGCTGTACTCTTAGAAGGGGCTAGAAAGTTGGCCAGGAACTCCTTACACCTGAGTGGGGCTTGTGAGACAGTAGGCTGGCTGGACATTAGGGTAGGTGGGTAGAGATGCGGTCATGGTTCTGGGGACCCCTCCTGCCAGATCTGGAGAAGTCGGACCCTGAGGACCAACTGCCAGCTCCTATGCAGACACTTTCTATGCAGAGAAGAACCCTGGTGGCAGGGAAGAGCCATGGTGAAGGAAATCCATTTATTTAGCATGTAAAAGGCCCTGAGTTGGTCCCGGGCATGGCACCAATGAATAAATAAAATGCATATTGTGAATATATAGACTTCCCAACTTTTCATAACCAGGTCCCATCCTCTTTGAAGATTTTTTGGAAAGGACGTAGTACGAGTTTTAAAGCTGATTTGAGTCCTTGGGATTATGGCTGATCTCTACTTGAGTAGATGGAAATGTAAAAGGATACTTCATCTGACCTCTCCCACCCAGTCTTTGTCTAATTTAAATGCTAGAGCATGTTCCAACATGCTGAAGCCAGCTATTAGTTTCTACTGCCACCAAGCTAGCTATTTCTAGTTATACTCAGTGCTGTCGAACTATTGCTGATGATTCACTGCTACACATGTCATTAAGTCAACAAGTTGAGAAATCCGGGGTGGGGGTGAGGATCTAGTCTCCCACCTGGGCTGGTGAAGGGCGCTCAGCCCTGTGAGCAGAAATGAACCCCTGAGCTGCCGGGGAAGATGTTTCTGCCATGTGTCCCCTGCTGAAAGGTTTCAATGTGGCATTGAGAAAGAACCAGGGATCTGAATGATCTTCGGTTTCCCTAAGGAAGTTAGCTTCTATCAACTTTATATTTGAGAGCAAGCTTAATTATTTCTAGTAGTTCCTATATCTCAAGGGGATAAATAGGCTGCCTGGCTTTTGAAGAAGTCACCAAATAGTTGTGTTTCCCGTAGTTAACAGCTGGAAATGCTTTCCTAAAATCTGCTTTACTCAGTGAAAACAAATCGGGGAATCTCATCATTTTACACTCATTTGTAAAAAATACGTGAGTATGGGCTATGAATTCCACTTATTAGCCACATACTGGTTTGAATGAGAACTCTAAGACAAGATGATGTCTTGGTCCTTGAAGCTTCTCATTTCTGTACAAATGAAAATGTAGTTGCAGGCCGAGTTTTCCCAGCTGGGGGAGGTGTTAACACACATTGGGGCATGTTAGGACCCG